GATTTCGAATTTGTTGTGGGGGGGGGGGGTGTACGGATGAATCTGTGATCTGACGGTGGAGATTGATTGATGAATTTGTGGGGGATGGGAAAAAGGCGATGATCCGGAGACGGTGAAGCTGAGGCTGAAGCAGTGGGCTCAGGTGGTGGCTTGTTCGGTACGGCAGTTCTCCGGCGAACCTAATTAACATTTATATTTTTCAAAATTCGAAATTCAAAAAAAAAATTTGTACAGAAAGGACAATTTTGTAATGATATTATAGATACCTAAATTTAAAATCAATCTTTTTTCCAACAAACTATATAAATCATATATCTCCTTCATGTGATTTTCGAATTGGTTCGTGTGTCTTTCTTTTGAATCCTGTCAAAGTCTCTGATTGGACTGATGGTTTTGGTAATTCTCGAAATTGATTTTTTTTTTTTTTGGGTAATGGCGTCTTGGAGTTGGAGGGTTGTATTATATATATATATATATCGTCTCTTGTATTTCTTTGATGTTATATTGTTGGACCAAAAACTTGAAATCATCTTTATTTTGTTCCTCAATATTATCGGTCCATGTCTCGGAAAATTCATTGTTTTTTCTTTGTTACAAAGAAAATATTATTTTCTTAAAAAGAAAGAAGAGCGTGTGATGTTGAAACCAATTTTCGTATTATTTTGGGATTTGAGATTGTCCAACGGGTTTCATAAATTTCTTTATTCTATATATACATATATATTGAAATATTACATGATATATATGTGTATATATATATATGCCTATTTTTATACATATTTATATTTTTGTATTGATTATGTAAAAAGAAATCAATGTGTATTTTTCTATATATAGGTATATGAGAAATTTTTTAAAATTTGTATATTTTTATACAAAGTTAAAAATCTATATATTTATTTACCAAATTTAAAATGTTTTTTTTTTTGCGATATTTCAATGATCTGTGTTATGTCATCTAAATATTTAAATTCTGTAGTTTAAACTTTGTTTCGGAAGAAAATAGAATAAAAAGATATATAGTTTAAAAAATTCGTTCATTGATAAATTTTGGAGTAAAAAATTGACAAAATCCAATTTACTACTTCTCATATGGTGGAGGAAAATTGAAAATTATGGGGCGTTAGGGGACAGTTGAAAATTATGGATAGTTGATGCAATTTTAGAGTTTAGATATTAATGCATCTTTTATTTGATTTAGGCTTACTATTATATTAAAAAAAATTCTATTTCTATTAAAAATAGGAGTTCTGGTAAGAAAAATGTCAACGTATAGTTAAATTCTTTGATGATAAATAGTAATACGACTCATTACCTATAATTTGAACATCTTAAAGCATTCCATATTTTGATAGTATAATTTAATTTATATTGTTGTATACAATTTGCATGTTTTTCTAAATAAAATTTCTCAGTTTTTAAACAAATGAGTAAAAATTATTTTATTTTATTTTTCAAAAATGTTTTCTCAATACGCATTCAAAATTACTTTTAAAGTTGTTAGAAATTTTCTAGCATGATTTTAATTAGGGGTATCAATTTAAACCTAAGACAAAATCTGATCCACTCGAAAAATGTCGAGTTTTGGACATAAGTTTTTTTTTGTCCAATAATTGTTTTTTAAAAAAATCTAAAATTTATAAAGAAATTGAACAAGGTGATCCAACCCGATCTGATCCCATCCGAACACGGAGCCTATATGAAGGGCTTAGGGTTTGATTATATAGACCTAAAAAAAATCGGACCGGCCTCAGTACGAATCGAAACCCACGAATCGAGTGTGGACTCGGACCGGATCGGTCCAATTGACATCCATAATTTTAACTTAATTGATATGGTATTTGAATTCTATTTTAATGGGTATTATTGTGATAAAAAAAAGTAAGGGGATTCTGACATAATTTTAGAAAAGTGAAAGAAAAATATGTAAATATTTAGATATCATTAACTTAATTTTTATATCTGAATGGACGATTTAGAAATTAAAAAAAAAAGAATGTAATTTTATGTCGGGTCGATAAGATTATACTTATCATAGAAATTCTTATAATTCTCATAATTTGTAAGTAAAATAATTACTATCCTATTAAACTAAAAGTTCTCTATCGACATCAAAAGCTCAAATACATTGTGTTTATTGTTTCTATATTTCTATTCTATTCTTAAATTCTTTACATATTAATGATTTTTTAGGAAGGGAAATGAAGAGGATTTTTCGATAATTTATAAAATGAATACATGACGTTTATATACGAAAACTACAAATGAAAATTCAAAATACTAACAAATTTAATAATTAATATTCTTTAATATTTTCTATCAAGATCGAATTGGTGAACTTACATTTTGTACAAACGCTAATCCACCATAGCAAACCATGAAAATTGAATACGAATAATAAAACGACCAAAAATATGACAAAAAATGAAATCGATGTCTATTTTGAAAAATCACCGATATAAAAAAAAAAAATTACATGAATGAACTATGAATCAATCGGTAAAATTTTTAATTTCAACTAACCAAAGAAAACCGAACTTGAAAACAAATTGAACCAATAAACAATCCAAATATATCAAACCAGAAATCGCATATATAGAAAATAAACCGAATTTATCGAAATTTCTGAACAACATAGAAATCCGTCTCCTACAACGGTGTTTATATTTAGAAAATAAAAAGTGATAAATTGAAATTCACAATACTGACCGAAAATTAACAACTAATATTTTTTTTATAATGATTAAAATATTCGTAATAAATCTAAGATAAATTCCGTATTACATTAAATTAAATATGTTAACTTGTGTTTCATAGTTGTTCAATGAACGCATAGACATATCTCCGTGCATAAATAAATATTTCCTTGGTAAGTTGTGACAAAAAAAATTGCATATAAAAAACTATAACGCAAATTGGGAAATATTTAAATTATTGCCACGAGAGGCATGTGGATCGTTATCGTTTTATTTTGGGGGGTTTGAAAAACGAGCATAAAGCGGTGCAGATATTTTGGTGTCCCACGGTCGCGTTTTATCATAATTGTGGATATAGAATATATATATATATATAATAAACAATTAAATTAAAATAAAATGAGATATAAAATTAATTAGATATAGATACTAAATTAAATCAATCAAAGTTTGAATTAAAATATATATTAATTAAAAAGATATAGTTAAGTTTTAATAATTCAGTATATTTTTAATAAAACGAGTCTAAACAAAATTAAAATAAGAAAAAATAATTTTAAAAACTAGACAAATCTAATTTTTGAAAATTTAAAACCAAAACTAAAAAAGTAAAGGAACTATATATATCTTTCCTTATTATCTCGTATTTGTTTAATCATTTCTGGCTATCAAACAAAGCATATTTGATTTGTTTGACAGCTGGCTTTTGTGGAATTTCCATCCATTAAATATCTCTGACTTTCCAAACCATTTAGATAATGGCGATTTTTTTTAGTTTTTAAATTATTTTACATTATACAAATCCATATAATATATGTAGGTTGTCTCCTCTCTCTTTTTTTTTCAATTTGATGATAAAAATCGCTACAAATTAATATTTAATCAAAAGTAAAGTTCGTCAATGATCTCCAATCCTCCATTTTTTTTTAACAATATTCCCAACGAAAAATGACTTTAACCCTTTTTTTTACAAGTCAATTTTCATCGACCATTTTATTTAATTGCAAGTCGATAATCGATATTCTAGATGTTTTTTACTTCCGGTCAATCTATATATATATATATATATATATGGCTTGAATCCGAATTCATGGCCAATTCATGGCACGTTTTATATACAATTACGGTGTAATATCTAATAGGAGTATTAGGTGAACAAATATCGTAACACGCAACTAAATTCGAGTTTTGAATTAATTAATAATATTATTTAAAAAACAATATCAACTTCGAACACACCATGAAAAGGACACTCAAAAAAATCTAAATCGAATTAATAGAAGTGTATATACGACAAAGACGCAACCCTTAAATGGGGGATATATCTAAAATACCTTTCGGATGCTATATCTACTTCCACTACTACCCTCTAAACAAAAAATTGAAAAAAAAAGAGAGTTGAATATGCCAAAAGACAATAAAATCCTTACATATTAATCAAAAGACAAAAAAAACCCTCTATTTTTTCAATTTAAAAAATTTATATTAAAAAAAAAGTAAAGTTACGCAACCTTCTTCTTCTTCTCTCCCTCTCTCTCTCTCTAACTTTACTCTTCTTCTTCTTCTCCTCTCTCTCCTCCTAAAATTTTCTCCTCTCTCTCCTAAACTCTCACGATTTCAGCTCTCTCATTCTCTTTCAAAACTTCTAATCTTTTGCATTTTGTGCCGATTTCTCTCCAAAAAATCTATTTTCTATTTAAATCTTCGATTAGATTCAAGATTCGAAGAAAAAAACTGACGAGAGAGAAGAACATGGCTTTAAAATCATCTCGTTACTCATCTTCATCACAATCTTCGACCGAAAATGAAAACCGTATGGAGATTGTAGGGCTAGACAAAAATATGGTAGGTTAAACTTCAATTTTTTTCAGATTTGTTGGACTTTCAAATTATTGTTGTTGAATTGAAGTGTGATTTTGAGATTTGACCGATAGAAATTTGGGATTTTGGGTTTTTCAAATTTTTGGGGATTTTGACATAAAATATTGGGTTTGAAGTGAATTAATCAATTGAGTCATATGGTCATAGGGTTACAGTGTCATATAGGTCACATTGTGGTATGGTCACAGGGTCACATCTTCATATAGATTACAGGATTACAGGTCATATGGTGGTATGATCACAAAGTCATATCTTCATATACGTCACAGGGTCACAGGTCACATGGTACCATGTCACACGGTCACATGGTACCATGGCACATGGTCACATGGATTTTGAAACATGATCCAGAATGCTAACATATATTTTTTTGTAGCGCATTGAAGAGACAATTTTCTATTTAAATCTTCGATTAGATTCAAGATTCGAAGAAAAAAACTGACGAGAGAGAAGAACATGGCTTTAAAATCATCTCGTTACTCATCTTCATCACAATCTTCGACCGAGAATGAAAACCGTATGGAGATTGTAGGGCTAGACAAAAATATGGTAGGGTAAACTTCAATTTTTTTCAGATTTGTTGGACTTTCAAATTATTGTTGTTGAATTGAAGTGTGATTTTGAGATTTGACCGATAGAAATTTGGGATTTTGGGTTTTTCAAATTTTTGGGGATTTTGACATAAAATATTGGGTTTGAAGTGAATTAATCAATTGAGTCATATGGTCATAGGGTTACAGTGTCATATAGGTCACATTGTGGTATGGTCACAGGGTCACATCTTCATATAGATTACAGGATTACAGGTCATATGGTGGTATGATCACAAAGTCATATCTTCATATACGTCACAGGGTCACAGGTCACATGGTACCATGTCACACGGTCACATGGTACCATGGCACATGGTCACATGGATTTTGAAACATGATCCAGAATGCTAACATATATTTTTTTGTAGCGCATTGAAGAGACAATGTATGAGATACGACTCTGCATTTTATAGAATTCGGTGACTTATATAGGAAGTAATTACATGGTTAGTGACACTATTTTCACAGAGCACATCAAGTGGTGGGAAAAATCGGGCGACTTGCCAATTTTGGGCGATCTCGGACCCTACTCCAAAGGATATATTCCATTTGGATGTGCAGAAACATCGTTGACTAACTTTTATTTCAGCTAGAAATGACTAACTTTTATTTCAGCTAATAATTTATCTCTTTTTGTTATGAACATTAAGTATAACCTTCTTTTGTTTGTTTATTAGAATACTAAGTTATAATTTTTTTATGCTTTTTGTTTATTTATATATGAAACTATTTATAGAGTCAACAGAATATAGGTTGAAAATAGTAAACAAATAGATCCCACCGAAACTCTAAATTGTCAACCGTAACTTTTCTACACACTTGGATGATACTAGACTCCACCAGAAATATTGCATGTAAAAATTTTGAAGAAAAAATTGTTAGAGAACAAAATTTGGATTTAGGTGTTCTAAACTCAAACTATTATCATGTTCACATATTCTTTCAAATGAATCGATCTGATTGTTATCACATCTTTCATATGCACCATTTTGAACTATATTTAACTATAGTAATTGAGTTATTCAAATTTTGTGTGCAAAAGTAGTTCTAAAAAATGTGATACATTAGTGTTCATAGTCTTTTATGAAGAATTTTGATAATTTTGGTCTTTTTGTATTACAAACTCGTTTTAACGTTTTGTAATTTTGTCACCAACATAATATTTGAGTTCTTTATACCTTATAATAACAGACCAAAGCTTGGAAATTACGTTTTTACCTGTATTTACCTTCGTCACTTGGTCACAGGTCACATCCGGTCACAATGGTCACATAGTGTAAAATTGACATTGGTCACATTGGTCACATGCTGGTCACATGGGACCCAACCACTACTTATATGAGATAATTTATTTACTGTTTTTTCATATGTAGAATGAAACCAAAGTATTATAACGCATTATTTTAACACAATATTATACAAAGATCTTAATGTTTTAGTATACAGATATAATATAACATTATTATACAATTTCTATTTCTTTATTCATTCAAAATTAGGGTTTCACTGAAACTTTGTTGATGTTGATACTTCTGTTGTGACATAGATCCACTTTTGAATTTTAATAAGACCTGAAAAGCAGTTTTGTTTAGGTCTCTCACTTTTTTGTTTGTCTTCCAATTTCTTTGTACCATTCATACCTTTGCTAGATTCTGATACGAGTTTGCAACTATGCATGAGATTGTATTTTCTTACACTCCAACGTTTCGAGTGTAAGATCAATGTCGTACGCAACTTCCAATTACAGCCGGATCCAATAACTTGCAACACTCTTTGGTTTTTCATCACCTTTCCTTCTCATTCATATTCTCCATTCTTTTTCATTATCCATTTACCATCATACAGAAATTATACAATTGTTGATCTCTTATCTCGTCCGTCTATAATAGTTGTAGAAAATATAAACACAAAATGCAGATCAATTTGACTATTCTGGACACAGTGACCATGTGACAATTATTACCATTTTTGACTATGTGACTATGTGATCATATGAATATAGTAACATGTGATCATTATTACCATTCGACCATTTAATTTAAATCCATGTGACTATTATTATCAATCCGACTATTATGGAGATCATGTGATCGTGTGACCATGTGAACCTGGTATCTTGTGACCATGTGAACATGGTACCATGTGACCATGCAAATCTGGTACCATGTGACCATGCGAACCTGGTACCATGTGACCATACGAACCTGATATCATCCGAACCAGATCTATGACAATATCATACAACAAAGGATAAAACTTCACAAACATCACCAAGTAGAAGAAAAGAAGTGGAAAAAACATCATTTTTCATCAAAATAACCCCCACAACCATCAATGTATATGAAAAACAATAAGATTTTCGCAATTGATTATTTATTTCCAACTCTTCACTAATTTTTCACTGATTCTACTTTGATTTCAAGCGATTTTGATGAAAAAAATAAGAATAGAGAGAAAATGCAGGAGAGAGAGTGACCAAATTCGATGAGAGAGAGTGGCAAGAGAGAGAAACTCAAAAAAAGAAGAGAGAGAAACCGAAAAATGGAGGAGAGAGAAAAACCCTACATTTTAGGAGGAATATTTTCCCGAAATCCCGTGAACTTCTATTCTTCTCTCACCAAAAGCTCTCCAAAAATCTGTATCTAAATGTTCTCTAAGGGTCTCCGATGTTCTAGGACGTGGCTAGGGCTTTTTTATAACCCTAGGGCGGCTCCCAAGAGTCCTACCTTAAATGATATAATTTCCATCCTCATCCAAATTTCTCATCATTCATTGGTCTCATCTCAAATCCGGAAATCCCTCAATCACCCTTTTGTAATAAAAAAAAATTAAAATTAAAATTAAAATTAAAAATAATTTCTGCTAATGAATTTTATTCTTACGTCTCGCATGTTTTGGAAACATGACATCCTCCTTGTTGATAATCTCATCGGGTCATAAAATCTTCTAAATATCCAAAATATAGGACAATTTCGTATTTTCAATAAAAATTTTGCCCATATTTTTTTTTATCCTACCTAACAATGTAAAGACAATTACATTATACTAGCTTGTCCTAACGATGTTGTGCATTATATTTGTTTAACCTTTATATACATATATACATATGTGTATATATATATATATATATTGAATTCAGTTATATACAAGATCATGTTATGAGATTTGATCATTTCTTTTATAAAAAGTAAATAGAATTAAAATATCCGGAAAAAAAATTATCAGCGACACAAAACAAATTAATTATAATTAATTAAACAAACATCCTAATGTATCGCGTTTAAAGAATATTGTAAAGGGAGATTACTATTTGTTTATTTTTTATTTTTTTAATAATACAGTTATCATACAATATTGGATTATTTTTGTATGAATGTTAAAAATCTTTCAGTACAAACGTTAAATAATTTGGAAAAAAAAAAGGGAGAACAGCTGAAGCATATTCCAAAAAACAATATGTTTTTGTTTTGTTTTTCTTTTCCTTTTTTTTCCTCCCAAAAAAACACAACAAAATATCTGGCTGATATTTGTCCGAGATATTATCGCCGTATGCTGACGTGGCACCCTCTGCCACGTGTAAAAGCGACGAAATGTGGGCCCTCCTCTTTCTCTCTCCTCTCTCTCTCTCTCTCTGAAACAGTTGTTTTATTTTTAGCTCTTCTTCTTCAGGAGGAGGAGAAGAAGATAGATTTCAGAGGCGAATATTTTTTCGGGTCATGATAGGGAAGGTAGTGGCGATGGATGATGATGATTTCAGGGTGAATTTCGTTCCTCCCGGGTTGGATCTAAGGTCGGGTTCCTCGACGAGTCTGGAGCCCCGGAGCGAGTCAACTCGCTCGAACTCGCTCGAAACCGGTATCACGGTCGAGAGTTCGCGGTGCTTCTCTTCCGAGTCGTGCGGTGATGCGGAAACGAGACCGGTAATTGAAATCTCTTCTCCATTTTTGGTCCGATCTTCCTCTCGATTTTTTCCGAGTCTCGTTTGATTTTCGTCGTCGGCTCTTGAGATCGTTCCTATTTATTTGGTTTGATTCGTAGCTTGATGGGAACATCGTTCGCTTTGTTTCTTCTTTGTGATTGCATTATAATTTCTTCTCCGGATTTCATTCTGTTCTGTATATCTTTGGAAGGGAGAAAAACACCCACAAGCAGAAATCACGAGGAAGCATTTTTTTTGTTTGTGTTTGTTGGAAGATTTCTTTGTTCTAATCGTTTTTGACGGATTCTTTAACTTTACAAGCCATTGAAGCGACGGAAATTGAGATCTGATGCCTTGAGTAGGTTATACTCATTTCAAAAATTAATGAAATGATATTTATTGTTCTGATTTTGGAAAACCATGAACAAATTTTGCAAAATCCATCTTCAACAAAAATTTAGGGTTCTTGTTTGCTCGGTTCTTTTGTTACTTGAATTTTCGAGTGTTCAACAATTTTGGACGCCTAGGCAGTGTGATGCAGGATTCATGTTGGTATAATGGGCATGGATCAAACCTACGCAATTATGGCTGAATCAGAATCTGAACCTTGAACTGATAACCCTCTGGTTCTTTTGAATAGATTAGATTTACCCATTAGCAGCTGATGATTTGTAAGCTCTCTCTAATTATAAAGTTAATATTTTTTGTGTTCATATTCCTGTTCTTGAGTTGTGCTGTCTTGTCTGTTGTACCATCATAGGGAAGTGTTTGTTGGCTTCCGAAAATGGTGGGTCTTCTGCTACATTCCTTGTGGACATGCATATGCTATTCAGCTTTATAGTGTGATAAATTGGTAGTTTTTCATGTCTGTCCCCTATTGGATGCTCTGTCTCTTTCATGGTGTTATATAAACACATGGAATGTTGCTTTATTGGTCAAAGTTCTATGTCTGGTTGTTACCATGAGATTGAAACATATGAACATGATCTGTTGCGAAAACTGGAGTTTGATTGGTTGATCGAAAAGCCGAGTGCTGTATGACCAAATGTCTTGGAAATCTTTTGGAGTTTTGTAGGCCGCATTCCCATCATCTCTTTAGTGTATATCCTTGATCACTCCATGTAGCAGTGGATTGTGTTGGTAGAACAAAATCGTCTTTACATTGAGCATTCTGAAACTTGATTCCTGAACTGCAGCTGAAAACTGGCTGTGATTTTAGCTTTAGAGCGGGCATATGAATGTCTGCCTAGATTCATCAGCACGTTTCAATGCCTTTTGATGGTTAATTATTTATGGACAAGAGGTAACTGTATTCCTCTTTTCTTGTGGAATTCTTCCCCCCGAATGAATCTCATTATCGTTTGTTTTCCTTATCACCTCCTTCTGCAGGATGAGTGCAGTGGTTGGACCAATGAGAAACACAATTCATATATCGATTCTTTGGAGAAATCTTTTGTTAGGCAGTTGTACTGCCTGATGGGAAGAAGGAATCAGAGATCATTTGGAACTCATCATCTGCCCACGACTAACTCTTGCAAATCCATTGATCAGGTTCAAGATTTGATTCCATTTATCACCTAGTTTTTTCAAGATCCTGATCAGTCGTATCCTTCAATGTCTCATATAACAAACGTGTTTTGCAGTTTGCGGTCCTACGAGATGGCTGCTGGCAGAAGATTAAGTTTGGAAATAAGAGAACTCGTTTGGATGCGACATCTAACATTTATTTTCATGAAAACCCATGGACAAGTCATTTTCCGGGACCCAGTGGAAGTTACGATGGGGAAACTGCTGTACGAGGAGATTTGTATTGTAACGAGGAGACCAACCACTCCGGTAGCAAGGCGTTTTCGGGGACACCCTTGAGAAATCCCGTAGGACATGAAGGTTGGACTGGAATCGCTGCAGGTAATCATGGATCAGTCTAGTTTCTTGGTATCCTTCCATTCTGCTCGGCTCGTAATGTGGAATATCATTATAAACCTAATTTCACCGTGCTTGAATAATTGAAGAATCCATTTCTACCTTCAGAAATGGCTGAGATTTTTACCCTTTTCCATTGTTCATGTTTCAGAGGCGTCAGGTCAGAACTTCGCGGATGAAAGCAAGGAAGAAAAGCCGTCATCCCATTCACCCGTCTGTAAAAGACGGAGAAGAGATCCCGAGCCGAACTGTTCAGAGAACGATCAGGTAAACACGGGAAACCCTCTTTCTCAATCCACGACTCGTTGCATAAGATCGAAACCGTTAGCTAAAAGATCTGAGACACGGGCTTAATCGATCAGGTCGTGCCTCTTGGAACGGCGAAACCAAAGGGTGTCTCGAGTGGCAAACAATACGAATGGATTTGATGCTTAGGACAAAGGAGAAAGGCCTTTTTCAGCAGACAGAACCAATGAAGTAATGTGAAAGTGTTGTTTATCTGATGCCACGTGTGAGGAATGTTAGATCCGTTCATGCATTTAAGGTTTGTAGCGAAGAGGCTGGTTGGTCATTATGTTGGTTTTTTGTCTTTTTTTTTTTTAATTATTATTTCTTTTAAATAGTTTCTAACCAGAAAAAAAAAATGTTATATTAGAAGTAAATGTTTTTTTGTTAATTCTTTTGTTTTTCTTTTAGTTACACTTTTGATATTTGTTTTCCTTCTTATAAGTATGTAATTTTGATGGTTGTCTTTGGAAAAAAGAGGAACCATTTTGATGTCTTTGTTTCTCCTAAATCACCTTAGGAGATGTTCGTTGTAACATGGATTTCTTAAGAATGGGTTTTGCAATTTTTAAAAAACGAAAATAAAGGCCACAAAATATTTTTTTTTAAAAAATGATTTCGTGAAGGCCACACGTTTTTTTTATTTGGGGACGGAGGTTGATGTGGCGGCGGTTCGAACGGGGCGCTGCTTTCAAGTGTTTTTTAGACATCTTCATAAGTCGAGGAAAATGAGCCACCAGTTTCATATTATTATTATTAATTTATTACTATGAAAAATCTCAAAACAATATTTAAATTTCCCAATTTTCAAAAAATAAAACCTAAACTTTGTTTTCTACCAAATAAAATCTCAACTTTATTTTTCAGTAAAAATTAAATCTGAACTTTAAAATCTTTGTCATTTTTTAACTCTACTATTGACATGACGTTCTTTACATGACAAATCAATATTTTGATCGTATTTGACACATCATCATCCACATATCACGATATCAGAATATCACGTCAGCAGTAGGGTTAAAAATGACAAAGATTTTAAAGTTTAGATTTATTTTTGATTGAAAAATAAAGTTGGGATTTTATTTCATAAAATACAAAGTTTAGATTTTATTTTATGAAAATTGATAAGTTTAGATATTGTTTTGAGATTTTCTATTATTATTATTATTATATTGAAATAATAATTCTTAAAGTGTTTATTACTTCATGAATCTTTGAATTCGATGAATTTGGCACTCTCCAATGAAAAATTATAATATATGATAGTGCTAATCTATGGGAAATTAAAATTGTGAGGTTTCTAATTTCTCTATTAAAAGGTCGGTCCATTTATTTCTATGATGAAACATTTTATAATATCATGAAGATGATCAAAATCAGCAAAAACTTTGAAATCTCTGGAAGATTATTATTATTATTATTATTAGTATTATTATTATTATTGTTGTCAAATTAAGAAAAAACTTATATAAATACTTAAACTTTTATAAAAATTCTAAATAAATATTCAAATTCTAATTTTTTGTATAAATACCTTAATTTTTTAAAAACCCTATATAAATATTTAAACTTTTGAAAATTTTCTAAATAAATCGAAAATTTAAATATTTCTCTATAAAAAGAATCGACACTATTAACGACTTTTTTTTTTTTCAAAATTTAGATATTTTTGTAGATTTTTAAAACATTAACATATTTATATAAAAAATTTATAATTCAAATATTTTTAAAATTTAGGCGTTTCACTTAAATTAATTGAAATTCAGAAAAAGGAAATAAATGAAATAGAAAAATAAAAATAAAAACAGAAATGGGAACTGTCTTCTTGCATTGAGCATCAGAAGAAAGATTTGACCCTTTGGACCTCTCAAGAGCTCATCTTTTCCCGCTACAAAAATGGCCACACGTCTGTCATCTCCTTCGACGAAGAACGAACCGAATCTTCCATGGCTTCTCTCTCTGTCCGTTTTCTCTCTCCTCAAGCTCTCCTCTCATCTGGGTCGTCCTCCAAACCCAAAAGAACCGTCCTTTTCGCCGCTCAGACGACGGCGCCGGCCGAACCGGCGGGGGGCGCCG